ACACAAATGGAAGCTCTGTTCTTTGACTTCAGTTGTCAGATGCCCTTCTCATTCTAGCATCTGTGCCTAAACAACTGTCTACCTACCAAACTGTCTACCCTAGAGCCCTGGAAAGAGGAAGTAGGGAATCAGAGGTCTTACATAATATTATTATTTATGTATCCACTCTAATGTAAAAATAAATGTAAATAAAGCTAGTTATATAGAAAACAGTTCCTGGGGCTAGCAAGATGACTCAGTAGTAAGGGAGCTTGCTGCAGAGGCTAACGACCTGATCCCTGGGATCCACATGGTAGAAGGAGAGAATCAACTTCCTCAGGTTGTTCTCTGACCTCCAACCATGTACTGTGGCATGTCCCATTGCACCCCTAATAAGTGTAATAAAAAAACTTTAAATGAAATAGTGTTGTTTCTGAAAGTGTTCCATGTTAGGCAGGTGTAAGGGTATGTGTATGTTTCTATAACATTCCTGGATCCCAATGATGAAAGGTTTAGAAGCCAATACAATGGGCAGTAAACCCTTAAAGACATGAAGAACCACACCACTTCCTTGGGGATATATGAAAATGGTCTGCTGAGATACTAAAGGTTGTCAGCAGGGAATGGATGCTAAAAGCAGGGTATCTTCTCAGTGGGACGGGGGTAAAAGGATCTAAGAGTTTATGGTGTGAGAAAAGGTTAGGTTCTGCTAACTCAAAAATACAAAAGGAATGTTGTTGGCTACTGTACTGGTACAGAGTAGTTAACAGTCAATATACACAATAGTTTGTGTTCACATCTGTTAAGAACTACCAATCTCATGTCCAATAAATGGTAAGAAAATGAATCCAGATAAATTTAACAGTCCACATCAACAGCTCTGGAACGTCATTTAATCATGTGTGTGCATACATTATCCATATACTGAAGGGCTTTTTTGTTTGTTTTACTGAAGTACACACAGGGTTTTGAACTCCTGATCATCCAGCTCCTACCTCCCAAGTGCCATCATCATGCCCAACTTAGTTACGAGTACCAGACAGCTAGCTCTGTAGGGTCCTATGAAAGATATGAGTTCTTAAAAAGTACACAAGATATTTTTAAAAATTCTCTCCCAGGTGCAGTGGCACATACCTGTCATCCCAAAACTGCACAGGTGAAGACAGGAATGGCAGGAATTCAAGACCAACCTCTGTTACATGAGATTTTGTCTCAACAAAACAAAACAAAAAGCCAGAAGACTTTTTTAAAAATCATAAAACAAAGCTCTCAGCCAGGTGGTGATGGCACACACCTTTAATGTTAGTGCTAAGGTGGATCTCTGTACGTTTGAGGCCAACCTGGTCTACAGAGCAAGTTCCAGAAGAGGCTCCAAAGAGCTACAGAGAAATCCTGTCTCAAAAAAACAAACAAAAAACCCCAAGAGCTCACAACTTACAACTGATTCAGCAGCTAATCAAATGCTCCTCGATTCCTTCACATAGTATATTGATACACACTGTTAAAATTAAAATTTTTTATCTTATTTAATAAGAATTAACATGGTAACATGATTTTAATCAAGATAGTATATTAAGATCGAAACCATTTTTTTGCAAAGTATTTACCTGATATTTTACTTATCTGTTAAATTGAAGATCTGAGTTAGAATTTATAATTTGAATTTAATACCTACACACGACCCCAAAATGATCTAGTTCAGTCACATCACTACTTCAAAGAATTTGAACTAAGAGATGAAATAGACAAGAACTATGATTATAATCTGTCTTTTCCAAGCAATTGACTGCTGTGTTAGACCCATTCAATTTTGTTTTGTTTTGTTTTTTCCAGACAAGGTTTCTCTGTATAACAGCTCTGGCCATTCTGGAACTCACTCTGTAGACTAGCTTGACCTCAAACTCACAGAGATCCACTTGCCTTAACCTCCTGAGAGCTGGGATTAAAGATGTGTACCACTACCACCCAACTTTGTTCAATCTTCTAACTCATGTATAATGCAGCAAATTTTCTAATACCTACCTGGAATACAACATCCTTTCAAACATTCTATTCTCCAATTTTTTAAGAAAATGGATACTGTTAGTAAAGTGATCTCTCAGCTAAGATTCTGTCAATGAGATTAGCATGTTGCATCATTTCATTGGCCTCCTACATACAATATGGAAGAACACAACCACTCTTTAAAATGTTAGACGGCAACTGTTTTATTGGTAATATATTCAATCTTGGAAAGGACTATGGTACCAGCACTACTCCAACCAGGAGAAAGCTTGGGTTGCTTTTTTTCTAGTATAGTGTCAGGGTAGCCCATTAAACCATGTGAATGTGGCTCCTTTTCATAGCCTTTGTCCTTTTTTTTGGATCACAACAAATGGAGGTCATGTACAATCTAAACAAAAGCCACATTTTATTCTGTTTTGGTTTTGTCTTATTTTGAAATAGTGTTCCCTCGTGTGACTCTGGATATTTGCAGTTTGTAATATAGACCAGGTGGACCACCTACTTTGCCTCCTGAGTACTGCCATAAAAGATATGACTACCAGTTTCGAATTTTCTTCAGGATTATGATGCATTTTTCTCTTTAGTGAATAACATTTTGTAAAATTCTATAAACTGAAAACTAATAGTTATAAATTCTTAATTATCCACCAACCTTTTTTGTTTCTCATGTTGGCCAAAACTATCCAAATGGTATACCTTTTTCATTATAATAGATTAAAGACATTAATTATCACAACAGCTCAAACCACTGAGAGCATTTGGATTTTATAAACACAAGTCAGAAATGACAAAAATTAAAAGAATCATTTTCCTAACAACCAAAGAAATAAGACTAGCTCAGATGCATGATTCATACTCTTATGTGTTAATTTTTCTGCAGAACGTTTTAGAATTTAAAAGACTGATGGAAAAGAACACCGGTTGCAACTTCTGCTGACAATTCCAATTTAACATACTCAGTGGAATGGTTAACCATAACTAACTCTGACATAGTGACTACAAGAAAAGACAGCATTTTCTGAATAACAAAGACAAACTGTGATGGCTAACTGGCTTTTCAGGAGAATTTAATAGGGTAAGAAAAGCATCTAAAGTTAAAACTAATCAAAAGCAGGGTCAAGCACCAAAGTACTTAGGACTGCCTTGAGCCTAGAGTTGTCCCAGTAAATAAAACTGTAATGCTTCCTACTCAGGACAGTTTGTCTCCTGAAATTCAACTCAACACGAAGACTCTTGTTGACATGCAAACAAAGTCACTTTCTAATACCTAATGTTGCTTGGGACTCTCCCAAAATCCAACCATGTCCAAGTGCATTAAAATCTATTTTTGGTTAAAAAAAAAATTAAAAGCTACTCTTAGTAATTTTTGATTCACTACATAATTTCTTTTTTCTTAGTTTTATTTCATAAATCTCCTGCAAATTTTTAATAAAAAAGAGATGGAAGTTTTCCCTGTGTCTAGTGACACTGTTAGACAGGAAAGTACAGAAACTGTCACCACTGTTCCTCGTAATACTTCTCCAAGAGGAGTATAACTGAACTACAAATCTAAAGCCTCACCTCAATTGACACTGTTGTCCCCCAATCCAAGTTTTACTCAGCAATGCAAGGAGCTATACTCTCTCTCACTCATCAGAAGCAGTATGCCATGGTTGCATCCAAAGCATTCAGAGGAAAAATATAATCTGACAACACTGGGAATAGTCCCCCTATAACTGTTTATTAGGATGAGAATATACTCCAAATCAAAAACTAAAAAAAAAAAAGATCAAATTACAGAGCATGCATAAAATACAAAGTAGCAATTTATAAATAGACAGAATATTTATAATCAATACACTAAAATAACAAATAGCTACAAAAGGAAAACAAAATGACTGACTAAAGCAATGCCTTCTGTGCTCCCCACACATCATGAGCACTGCAAAGAACAGAAGATTAACCATGAATCGTAGTCATCTATGCAAGCCCACACATTTTTTTTTTGCAGGTATCCCATCATCCTGAACAATATCTTTGCAGTTAACTTTCAGAAAACTGCAGAGTAAGTGCTTAATATTATCCACAAGGAAGTAAAACTAAGTATTAGTGTGCACATTTCTGAATGAGAAACTAGTTGCTCAATTAATTTCAATTATGTAGTGGAAAAATCTATTTCAGGACCCTACAATGCCTAAGTGCATTCTACTTAAACTCAAGGTACTATTTCATTTTACATACTAAAAGAACACATGCCTTTAAGTGGTACGACTTGAGCATAAATTAACCTCTCACTGCATTCTTTAGACATACTAAAACCAAGGGTTTAACTGAACTACATTCCATTATACACTGTACAACTCAAATATAAGCATTGTTAAAATAATTACCCATGCTTGTTGGTGGATATGGTGATAAAATTAGGCTGCATTTCACTTACTAGAAGGGTTTAAAAACAAAATTAACACTTCAAAATGCTATATTACTAGCATTAAGCTAGTTATTGCATGAGTAATAAAAATGTCACACAACCCACTGCTGGGAAACGAGACTGGTTAAGCTACTCAGGCTGCCGATCACTGCAACAGAGACACCTCAGACAGAAGCTCACTAGCCTGCCAGGCAGCAGGTTAACTTATGACCCCATAACCATGATGCCCTACACAAAATATAACAGTCCTTTATGTTTATTAAGATAATTCTTTTTCAGGAAAAAGAATCCCCATCATCTTGGATGCTTACAAAAACTAAAGAAAAAATTTACAACATAGACCTATTAAGGCATTTTAGAAATTGACTTCCACAATGGAAAATCTTCAAGCTCTCAAAATGCTGTTGTGTTTATAGGGCAATCCTTAGGTCTGTCAAAATATGTACTGCATTGAGAAGAGTGTCTTACAAGCTGCTCTGTGCAAAATAATAGCTTATTTCTAAGGATGTCTTAGATTTGATCAGGACCAATAGGTCTGAGTTTCAAGTGATCAAGTTCTATTATGTTCTACAGTGGCAGGCTTCCATGATGAAGAGTAAACAATAACTGAGGAATTCAAACATTCAGTTTATTAAACTAAGGCTAGAGAAGCCATAGCATGAAAAAGAACTGCAGTCATCCAACACAAAGTTTATGATTTTATAAAGCCAAAATCAAAAGACTCAAGACATGAGAAGATTCTTAAGTGTGAGGAAATAATAAACACAGAAAGTGACCACAAGAATTACAAATATATTTAAATCTCAGACCTGGGAAATGGACTATACACAGCCTTCTAGGGGAAGAGAGACGCCTTAGATGTTCTGACAGCACTGCACCTTTGGCTTGTTTTCAGTGGTAGGTGGGACATGAATAGGAACCACATTGTTGCTTGGAGACATGTCATTTTCACGTCTGTCTGACATTTGCTTCTGAGAAACAATGCGGTATATCTCTGAATGACAAAAGAAAGAGAAACACTTAGTGTGTGTAAACCCATAAAGAAGTTTGTCTAAAAGAGACGGTAGAGACAGGTGTTGGTGGCGCACGCCTTTAATACCAGCACTCGGGAGGCAGAGGCAGGTGGATCTCTGTGACTTCGAAACCAGCCTGGTCTAGAGTGAGCTTCAGGACAGGCTCCAAAGCAATACAGAGAAACTCTGTCCCGAAAAACAAAACACAACAAAAAAACAAACAAAAAAAAATTTCTGTTACAGTAAGAAGAGTAACAAGGTTTCTTCACTTCAGAGGGGAAAGTTCATCCATTAATTAAACAGCACCACATTAAACAGTGTCCTATTTATGGGCATAGATCTAAATTAAATTGTAAAAATATATACTTAGCCCCCCAAAAAGTCCACACAAACTGACAAAATGTAAAATAATCTTTACTAGCAGATACACCTGTTTTCTAAGTTCTGTAGGGAAGAACACAACTTCTCAAACATACTAAAATCCCAAGAGCTTCAGAAGAGAAAGGGCCCCTGCTTACACTGTCCTTCTCTGGGGCTAAGGTTAAATTGTTTCAAGGAGATAATCTAACATTTAAATGTATTGTTTTACTTTCATGATATATCAAGATTAATCTTGTAGTCCTACACTAAACATTAATCTTTTAAAGACTAAAAATTTGCTTCATTTGTTGCTTTAGTTCCACAGAGTAGATACCTGAGGAACTACTCAATGTCAGTCAATGTTTCCCCATATCTGTACTGACTTCACTAAAAGTGACTTTACACTGCACTATCTAATTAAACAATATACTTCTCAAGAACAGAGAACAGAGTATATAGGCCTCCATCTTGTCCTTCCAGTATTCTTTCTACAGCAATACCAGCACAAGGAAGGGAAACTCTAGAAACAGGCAATCCAATAGGATGTACTAGGAAGGACACAATCTATATGGGCTCCATGTGTCACTGAAAAAACTGCTCTTGGTGAATTTGTTCATGCAGAAACAGGACAGATACACAATCAGATGAGTATAAATTTTTATCTCTACTATCCAATACAGTAGCTATTTAAATAAAAATTAATACATGGGTAAGCATGGGGGCACAAACCTTTTATCCCCCAGTACTCAGAAGATAGATGCAGGCAGATTTCTGTGAACTCAAAGCTAGCCTGGTCTACATAGTAAGTACCAGGCCAGTCAGGGCTACATAGTGAGACCTTGTCATTAAAAACATCAAAAGTCAATTCTATAAAAGACATTAATAAAACTGGAAAAATTTGAATAGAGGCACACACTAGAAACACTGTGGACACACTAAAATTTTTAGATCTATAGTTATATGATTATGTAGGACCATGCCTTGTTCATATGAGATAAAATGTTTAAACTTTAAAAGTATAAAATTACACAGTAAAACAAGACAGAAAATAAAGATATATATTCAAAGTGTTCCAAAAAGATTGGGTATGATAGCACATGTCTTTAATCTCAGCACTTGGGGGAAAGAGGTAGATGGATTATGAAGCTAGCCTGGTCAACATAGTGAGTCCCAGGACAGCCAGGGCTATGTAGAGAGACCCTTCTCAAAACAAGTTCTAAAACACATCAACCAACTATAATGTGTAAACATTATCTGGATCCTAATTTAAACTGTAATTTTTAAGGAACTCTTGAGTCTGTTTAATATTATTTAGATAGCAGATAGTAATAAATTACTATAAAATTTTTAGTGGTTGTATTATGAATTTAAGTTTCAATTTTTAAGAGGCATATTCTGAAATATTCACAAATGAAATGACTTATTATCTGGGCTTTATTTCAAAAAGGTCATAGGTCAGGAACCTATACTGATGGTTAGTAAAATGGGCTAATATGATCTATTCTGCTTTAGTTAGCTGGAAGCCACACGACAAGAGATAATCAGGCTTTTTTTTTTTCCTTTTTTCTTTTTTGGTGCTGAAGACATGGCACAGCAGTTAATGCTCTTGCAGGATCTGGGTTTAATCTCCACACCCACATGGTGGCTAACAACCATCTGTAACTGCAGTTCCACAGGATTCAATGCCCTTCTTTGGCCTCTATACACACATGTGGTGCACACACATCCATAAAGGATGCATTCAGACACAAACATTAAAAATAAACCTTTAAAAAGCAAGTTCCCCTAAAGTTGAGCAGCAGTAACTTAGTAAATGAGGCTGGAGATACAGCTCAGTGGTTAAGAGAACCCAGTGCTCTTCCAGAAGACCTGACTTAAATTAGCGGCACCCATGTCCAGTGGCTCACATCTGGTCCTAATTTAATTCTAGCTCTGGGAGCTTGTGGCTCCCTCTCTGGCCTCTTTCATCACCCCTACACATGGGGCATATATACTCAACACACACAAAATATGTGAACTAACAAAAATACTCACCAAGACTGTACCTTTTTGTATAGTTTTTAGGGAAGTAGCTAAAATTTGTCTAAGATGGCTGGTAGTGGTTCAAAGGTAAAGAAGCAGCAGAGAAAGAATACAATAAAGACAAGCTATTGATTAAAGTTTAAAGATACGAATACAAAGGGTAACGTGTTGAGGAGATAGGGATAGCCAGTGAGATGCCCAGTGGATAAAGGTACTTGCCTCTAACCCTGACAATCTGAGTACAATCCCCAGAAACTGCATATTAAAAGGATAGAGCCTAACTCCTTAAGGTTATCGTCTGACCTTCCCTTTCACACTCTGGACTTAATGAGCCTCACAGGACACACAATAAACAAATACTTTAAAAATTGTTTTAAGGGGAGGGCCTAGGCCCTGCCCCAAATGATGTGATAGACTTTGATGATCCCCCATGGAAGGCTTCACCCTCCTTGAGGAGCAGAAGGAGGATGGGATGGGGGTTAGTGTGGGGCATGGGAGGATGGGAGGGAGAGGGAACTGGGATTGATATGTTAAGACTGTTTCTAATTTAAATTAAAAAAAATGTTTTAAAAGAAAAAAAAGCCAGATGTGGTGACACACACATCTTTAATCTCAGTACTTGAGAAGAAGAGGCAAAAGGTAGGTGGATCTCTGTGAGTTTGAGACCAACCCAATCAGTCTACATAGTGAGTTCTAGGCCAACCAGAGCTACACAATGATACACTATCTCAAAGTGGGAATAGGGTTAAGGAAAGGAAGAGGGAGGTGAGGAGAGAGGAGGGAGGGAGGGAGGGAGGGAGGGGGAGGGGGAGGGAGGGAGGAGAAAAAACAGAAAAAAAAAAGAATGCAATAGAATGGAAATGTGTCCAGGGCAAAGAAAAGGAGTTCCCTTTAGACTAGTGACTAAGAAATAATGATAATCATCAACTCGTGGTTAAACTATACCATTCATTCTTTATGTTGTCCATAATACCTAACTGGATAGGTCATCTTTTTGAAGAGAAAATCATTAAATATGTGATCCCTATTAAAATGTAACTTCTTTACAAGATGTTCTGAAGATTAAGTTAGGGGAACAACATCAAAACACCAGAGGAGAAACAAAGGGAGACTTCTTAGAGGACAGAAAGGTGAATAATTAAAGAGAGCTCATTTTAAAGCAAGAAACCTGAGCAGTGTTGTCAACAGTCTCCAAGCGCTGCACTCGTCAAGAAATGGTACTGCTGCTGTGTTTACTCCTGTCACTAAAAATGTATCCACTTTTGAAAAATACCAACAAGGCAATAAACAAAAGGAAACAGGAAAATTTTTTCTTCAGATCTAAATAGTTATGAAGATCTCCACAAGTAATTTACTTAAATCTCATGTTGGGTGTGTCATCTTTTGATAAGAAAATGGTAACCAGGAACTGTCCAGCAAGGATCTGATTATAAAGAGTTACTTCATGGTGGGGGAGAGGTCAGTAATATGTTAAGTCAGAGCAGGTTCTATACTTCCCTCAAAGGCCTGAACCAAATGAATGTGATTAGTTAATTCTCATGCAGCCCCTTTTCAAGATGTCCAAGGGTTAGGAATACCTAGAACAAAGCAATCCTGTTTTGTCTTTCACCAAAATCTCTCATAAGAGAGTTAAACATAAAGTGAAATGCAGATATATCATAGCTTTCAATGTAAGGCAAAGCTTTTTTTTTTTAATGTGTTGGAACTGTGGAACAGCTGGCAAAATAATTCTAAGGAGATCACACACATCTGTTCCCAATTAAGGAACAGAGTTAAAATTAGTTAGCTCCAATAGGTGCTGGAGGGATGGCTCAGAGGTTAAGATCACTGGCTGCTCTTGAAGGACCCTGATCTGTCCCACACACTCACAACGCAGCTCACAACCACCTCTAACTGCAGTTCCAGAGAGTCTGACACCCAATTCTGATCTCCTCAGGCATGTGGCACACATACACACACTCAGATGTATGTACACATAAAATATAATTTTTAAAAAAAATTCTTCAGTTCCTTCAAAAATTTTTAAAGCCCAGGAGCCTGGGTAATTTCATTACAGCCTCTGCAGAAGCTTCTTGTTTGCTAAGCTCATCATGTATATTTCTTAACGATCAAAAAAGGTTCAGATTTGAGACAGTCTCACATTTTCTGCATCAAGTGAGAACAAAGTTACCACTATCTCTAATGAAGAGAATCAGTACTTGGCTGGCAAGATGGCTAGTGAGTAAAGGTGTCCACATTTCATCCTTGGGAACCATCCGGCAGAAATGACTCCTATACTTGTCCTCTGACCTGAATTGTACTGCTCACATACACAGTCACATACATGCACACAAAAATAAAATAGAATTCAAAAATTCTAATGAAGTTAATACCTGGTAACTTTAGCCCCTGCATTTTTATTTATTTTTCAGACAAGGTCTTATTATATGGCCCAGGATGACCTCATACACATACAGCCCCCATACGCTGAGATTATAGGTATGTACCACCAAACTGGCTTTGGCTTTGTTTTAAAGATCCAGTATGTTACATGAATTAAAGTTATTTCAGGCATAGAATTAAGAGTTTAGTCTTCAAATTAGGAATTTACTTTGAACTTACTAATTACATGGAGAAACCTGGCTAACAGCACCTCAACTAAAGTTCAAAGTTAGAACTACCAATAATGAGACAAACCTATTATCAAGAGCTTCCTAAATGATGAACTGAAACCACCTACGTGGTGTTCCTGCTATAAACTGTACACTGCAGTTTAATCATAAACTCAAATTGAGAAACTGACAAGTGGCCTGTACCTTTTAAAAATGCTAAGGTTGGTAAACAAAGGAAAACTGAAGAAACCATTGTCAAGCAGTGACAGGATAGCTGAATGGAATATATGATCTGATCCCAAACTTAAAAAAAAAACTAAGCCGGGCGTTGGTGGCACACGCCTTTAATCCCAGCACTCAGGAGGCAGAGGCAGTCGGATCTCTGAGTTTGAGGCCAGCCTGGTCTACAGAGCGAGTTCCAGGACAGCCTCCAAAACAATACAGAGAAACCCTGTCTCTAAAAGCCAAAAAAAAAAAAAAAAAAACTAATAAAGTTTTTATTGGAACAACTGGCAAAATATTAAGTAAGGACTATTGCTAAAGACTGATGTCATTAAGTCACTATGTTGTGGTTATAGGTATACACAGCACTTACTTTCACATGGTGCTGTGTGTGTGTGTGTGTGTGTCTATGTTTGTATCTGTGGGGGGGGGGAAGGGAAGAGGTAAATGGAAAGAAAAAAGGCACTAACACTTAAGGAAAATGGCGTACAGCTACTCACAAATCCTCTATAATGTTACTGTAAATTTTAATCACCTCTGAAAACAGTGGTCAAAAACCCTGTCTTAGGGATGAAGCTCAGCTGGTACAGTGCTTACCTGGCATTACCAACACAGAGTTGGATCTCTAGCAGCATGCCCCTCTCCAACCCAATCTCCTGGTGAACTTGAGGCAGAAAGGACAAAGCTGAACTGAAAGGCAGGGGTGGAGCAATCCACCAGCCCACCTTGGCACTAGTCAACTACTCAAAGCACCACCAGAAAACTCATCTCTTGGAATCACTGAGGATTAAAGGATATAAAAGTGTGGGCCAGGCGTTGGTAGCACACGCCTTTGATCCCAGCACTCAGGAGGCAGAGGCAGTCAGATCTCTATGAGGTCGAGACCAGCCTGGTCTACAGAGCGAGTTCCAGGACAGCCTCCAAAGCCATAGAGAAACCCTGTCTCGAAACACCCCCCCCCAAAAAAAGTGTGGGTCTATTACAAAACATTTCCAATACTATGTTACTTAACATTTGGCTCAGTGGATAAAGGGAACCTCCATCAAGCCTGATAGGCAAATGCTGTAAGGAGTTGTCCTCTGACCACCACATGACCCCACCCCTGATATAAATGAATAAACAAGATTTAATTTTTTTTAACTAAAAATTAAGCTAAGTGCTGTAGCACATGCCTTTAATCTCAGCACTTCCAAGGCAAAGACAGGTGGATCTCTGAAAGTTGAAGGCCAGCTTGGCCTACATGGTGGAAAAACAAAGACAAAGTAGAACCTGCAGGCATACTGTGTATTCAACAAAATACTGCAAGCTTAAAACAATCTGCAGTGAGATCACTCAGAACATTATTTTTAAAGATAGTATGTATCACAACTGTCTATTCTCCTCCAGCTCCCTATTGACTATTAAAAAAAAAAACAGTTTTACAATATGGTGGCACACGCTTTTACTCCAGCACTCTGCAGGCAGAGGCAGGTGGTGGATCTCTACGTTTGAGGCCAGCTTGGTCTACAAAATGAGTTCCAGGACAGCCAGGGCTACATAGAGAAATCCTGCAGATGATAGATAGACAGACAGACAGACAGACAGACAGGCAGGCAGGCAGGCAGGCAGGCAGGCAGGCAGGCAGGCAGGCAGGCAGGCAGGCAGGCAGGCAGGCAGGCAGGCAGGCAGGCAGGCAAGTAGAAAGAATAGATGCAAGTCTCCAATATTTAATATTTTAACAAGTTTTTTTTTTCCATGCCTTAATTGCTACTTAGTTACTGATTTATCAAATGTTCATTATTTACCAGGAATAGCTAAGCCCTTGACAGGTATTAACTCATTTTTGGAAACTACAGCAGAAGTATTAGTGACAGATCATTCTTTTCTGTGGAGTAAGGATAACAACACAACAACAAATCCTTTAGGTAGCAATAACAAGTTAAATTGCGCCTTATCAAATCATACTGCAGAAACTTAAAAGCACAAGTGCTCTCATGAAGAAAACAATTACTAACCAAATGTATTTGAAACTTTGTTAGACTTATTTTAAATTATGTGTATGTCTATATGTGTGTTCATGCTTATATATGTGCAGGCACTCTCAGAGGCCAGAAGAGGATGTCAGATCCTCTGGAACTGGAGTTACAGGTGGTTATAAGCAGCCTGACATGAATAGTGGAAACCAAACTCTGGTCCTCTGGAAGAACAGCATGTATTCATAACTACTGAGCCATTTCTACAGTCCAACATATCTGAATTTTACAGATGAAGAAATTAAAGTCTTTGAAGGAATAAGTAACTTGATTAGTAAGATTATAGCTCCAAAAATAAGTGAAGGAATCAGGTTTCCTAGTCTATTATCTAAATTCCTAGGCATATTACATACATTTTTTAAACAATAAAAATATTATACAGTTAAAATTCTGCTCCCCTCTAATACAACTACAGCATTAAAACGTGTACATTATAAGAAGAAACTAAACAATTCTATGTATTAATTTTCAGAACAGCACATAAGACTTCTACTACATGTTGAATGGATTCAGATTCATAAGATCTTTTAAAAGTAATACATAATGCCGGGTGGTGGTGGTCCATACCTTTAATCCCAGCACCCAGGAAGCAGAGGCAGGCAAATCTTTGTAAGTTTGAGGCCAGCCTGATCTACAAAGTGAGCTCCAGGACAGTCAGGACTATTATACAGGGAAACCGTATCTCAAAAAAACAAAAGAAAGAAAGAGAGAAAGAAAGACTTAATATAGGTGTCCTGGAAAATAACCTATGAAAGTACTTCCTGGGCCGGGCGTTGGTGGCGCACGCCTTTAATCCCAGCACTCGGAAGGCAGAGGCAGGCGGATCTCTGTGAGTTCGAGGCCAGCCTGGTCTACAGAGCGAGTTCCAGGACAGCCTCCAAAGCCACAGAGAAATCCTGTCTCGAAAAACCAAAAAAAAAAAAAGAAAAGAAAAGAAAGTACTTCCTAATAGATTAAATGTACTGATAATTTGGTTGTTCTAATAAAGCCAAAGTAAATATGAGTCAGCACAAATAAAATGTCTTCTTTTCCAAGAAGCTGACTTGGTTATCCACATTCCAAAATAGCATGAACTTTGTCTCTTTCCCATTACTCATTTAAACTTTTCTATATGCAGACTTAGCAGATTTTATTTATAAGGAACACACTCCTATATCATGGAAAAAGTATCAGTGCTTTTTTTCCCCACTTAATTTTGGTGTAATTTCCCTAGTTTTTTTCTAATTTCTGATCTCTGTGTGTGTGTGTGTGTGTGTGTGTGTGTGTGTGTGTGTGTGTGTGTATCTGTCTGTCTGTCATGTGTGCAGGTACCAGCATCAGAGCCCCTGACACTAGAGTTAAAGGTAGTTGTGAGTCACCCCATATGGGTGCTGGGAACACAACTCAGGTGCTCTGGAAAGCAGTAAGTATCCATAAATTTTGAGCTATCTGTCCAGCCAGATTTTTATCTAATTTCAAAAGACATTTATATCACTCTATAGTCACGATCTCAGTATTTACCTTATGAAAGTACATTTCAAAAAAGAACATACATGAGAACATGTAACTCCATCCTTTTGACTATGAAATGTAGACTACATGGCCTGAACACAAGAAAATGAACAAATTACTTTCAAAGAATTTTTTCCCAGATGAATTCAGTGACTGAAGTTCAATGTGCAAGCATTGTAACTGTGAACACCAAGGAACTCTTACTATATTTGCTCTTAAATGATAGCCATTTTCAGATGGCATAACAGTTTCTTAATTAATTTGTTTAAATCACTTCCAAATACTCCAGATTTCAGCTGAGCAGTGGTGGTGCACACCTCTAATCCCAGCACTCAGGAGGCAGAGGCAGGTGGATCTCTGTGAGTTCGAGGTCAACCTGGTCTATAAAGCCATACAGAGAAACCCCATCTCAAAAAACCAAAAACTCCAGTTTTCTCTGGTGTTACCTGAAAACTACAAATCTCACCTGTTAGAATTGTCTGAAAAGCAGCTTCAACATTTGTAGAATCTAGAGCAGATGTCTCAATGAACGACAAACCATTCTTCTCTGTAGAGAGAAACGAAATTTTCAGTCTTGCGAAATTTGATTGTTGTTTAATAGAGCTGATGATCCAATCCAGGGCCTCACCAATGCTAGGAGAGCCTCTATCACTGAGCTACCTCCCCAACTGTTCAAGGTCTAAAACAGCAGATGTGAGAAGCTCATGATCACAAAAGGGAAGATAAAAGACTAAGACCTAGCTGGCCGTGGTGGTACATACCTATCATCCAGCTCTTGAGAGGCAGAAGCAGGACCAGGAATTCAAGACCAATATGGACTACACAAGAAAGTCTCCCAAAACACCAAACACTTAAACCACACCAACTTCTGGAGTGGTAAAAACACTGTTCTATTTAAATTTAATTTAATTTAATTAAGTTAAATTAAAATTAACAGTAAGAATTTTTCATTAGCCTCTAAGTATTGCTGCAAATAAATACCACCACAGGAAATAAATGAAACTATTCAAAATATATAACTTATCATCGAACATCCCAGTATTTCCAGCCCTAGCCATCCTCCCTAGCAAGTACATAACTAGAAGCATGTTTACTTAGAATTTTGTTACTACACTATTTGGAAACTTAGAAAGTTAGAGGAATGGGGTGTTCTCAGAGCAGGGGCCTAGAGAATGGCTTCTCTGTTTACAATACACCCAAGAGGAATCTGGGGCATTGTAATGAGGGGCAGGCACAGCACTGCATCTTCTCTGTGAGCAGATCCCTTACATGCAAAAAGAAAAAAAAAAAAGGAAAATATTCACAATATTTTCACTAATACAACGTCATGACTTCCTAGCCAGTGCAGTGCTACCAGAAGGGCATCAAGAAACAAGCAGATCCTACATAAAGCCCAAAGTGCTCAGCTTCTAAGTAGGTGCACCCTTGTCGGTCCCTGACACGCCTTGGCACACTACTTTTCAGACTCACATAGAATGGCCTTGCTAAAGAATAGAGGCATAACGAGCTGGGCGTTGGTGATGCACGCCTTTAATCCCAGCACTCGGGAGGCAGAGGCAGGTGGATCTCTGTGAGTTCGAGACCAAGCCTGGTCTACCAAGCGAGTTCCAGGACAGGCTCCAAAACAAAATAGAGAAACCCTGTCTCGGGAAAAAAAAAAAAGAATAGAGGCACACGTTCAAAAAGAGAAATGCAGAAGCACTGTAATACTATGGAGTTCACATTACTAACCTGCAAAAGCTCTTGCTTCATCTGTAGGAACTGCCCTGAGGTGGCGTAAATCACTCTTATTACCCACAAGCATGATAACAATGTTGCTATCAGCATGGTCTCTCAGTTCTTTCAGCCATCGCTCTACATTTTCATATGTGAGATGCTTAGCAATGTCATAAACCAGTAAAGCGCCTACTGCTCCACGATAGTATCTGCAAGCACAAACAATTGTAACTATCAAAAGACAATCACAAAGTAGAAGGGAACACCAGAAAAAACTCAAAACAGGGATGGTATAGGGCAGGGAGATGGCTCTGGTAAAGAACTTGCCATCTAAGCCTGAGGATCTAAATGAAAATCTCCAGAACCCATGTAAAAGCTGAGGACAGTAATCCTGGTCCTCCTACGTGAGATGTGGGACTGAAACAGGAAAATCCCCAGAAGTTCATATGCCAGGTAGCCTGGCTAAACAGCAGTGAACAACAAATACTGTATGTCTCAAACAAGGTAGAAGGTGAGGGACAATGCCCAAGGTTGTCCTCTGACCTCTATACACAGCAATAATACACACATGTACACACTAACTTATGCATGGACATACACATACATGCACATACACACACACATACACACAATATCTGTAGATGTGGTAGACAGTAGTTGTCCCTTACATGAGACATGAGGTATTATACCTAGCCATCCACAGTCCAAAAATATTAAATGGAAAATTTCATAAATAAATAATTCATAAGCTTTAAATTGCCACCATTTTAAGTATTGTGATGAAACTTCTCAGTGTTCCACTTCATCCAGGCCAGCACATGACTCATCCTTTTGTCCAATGTACTCACACTGTATAAACTACCTGCCTGTTAAAGTCTCTTTGTAGCCCTCCCATTATCTATGGTCTTCTCTATGTCCAAGTAACCCTTAGTTTACTGAATAATGGCCCCCAAAAGCAACCAGGGCATGCCAAAGAAAAGCTGCAAAGGGTCTATTAAGAGGAAAGATACAGGGGCTCAAAACAGTTAAGAGCACTGGTTGTTCTTGCAGAGGAAGGACAGGAGTTTGTTTTCTAGCATCCACATAGTGGTTCACAACCATTTGTAACTCTACTTTCAGGGAATCTAATACCACTTTCAGGGAATCTGCTACCATCTTCTTACCTCCACAGTAGGCACGAATGTGGTACACATACATATATGCAGGTAAAACATTAATAAAAAAAACATCAAAAAGAAAACAAAAACCCACAAATGGAAACATTCAGGGTTTGTGGTTGCAGGCATCTAGGGAGGGTCTTGGAACACACCTCCCAAGGTTAAGATAGGACTACTATGCCTTCACAATACTTAAAGTCAGCAATCCACATGATACCAACCTATGCCAGAACTGATAAACCATGAACTTACGCAGATGTTATGGCCCTGTACCGCTCCTGCCCTGCTGTGTCCCATATCTGCGCCTTTATTGTTTTCCCATCAACCTGGATGCTTCTTGTTGCAAACTCTACTCCAATGGTACTCTTGCTTTCCAGATTGAACTCATTCCGAGTAAATCGAGACAGAAGGTTACTCTTTCCAACACCAGAATCTCCAATAAGGACAACTGAAAAGATAAAGATAAAAAATTAATATAAGCTGCATGAAGGCAAGCACATTCAGAATACCAACATGCTTTTAATAGAAGGACGTTCAGCTTCAAAATAAATACAAGCAAAGATTTTAAAGAGGCATAATACCAAATAGCTTATGTCTATGACCAATCAATTAAAATTTTTGCTCTATAATTTATTTCTATCTGCATAATGGCTTTCACACATTATCAACTCAGCACAGATCAGATATAACACCCCATCTAAAAAATACCCCTCTCTTTTTGTCCTATCTTGGAACTCAAACCCAGAGTCTTACACATATACCGGACCACTGATACATATCCCCCGCCCTTAAAAATGCAATTTTGCAATTTTAATCATAGGGTATCGTAGCCACCGATGCAAACATTAATTACCTTTAATCTATAGCAACCCCACTACCTTAGAAAGTATTCTGAAAGTTAAACCACAACTTGTGTTATTCATGTTTTAGACACCAAACAAAATACATCAGTGCATAGAGTGCATAAACGTGTACATTCTACTAGTTTCATTGAAGACAAGGTGTGATGTGAGACCTGAAACACATCTAAAACATGAGGCATGACATGAGGCTTACAAGCTTTGCTGCTCTGGTCATAGAAACTATAATCATCTTTAATAGTTACACTTCACAGACTGGCAGAAAGCCACAGGGGCACGTGACCTCGCTATGGACAAACAGGAACCCTCAGAAGCTAACAATTCTGACATACTGAGTCAAAGCCAAAGTAAAGAGGGAAAGCACTTTCACTTAGGACTCCCTAAAAAATTTAAAAACAAATTTTGATTATACTCACTTCCTATGAATAGAAGGCAGTTTATTTACTAAGTAACTTCTCTCCAAAGTCTATGACACTTTTTAAATTTTCAAATAGGGCTAGTGAAATGATTTAACAAGTAGAGACACTTGCTGCCAAGTCTGAGGATTAGAATTCCATCTCTAGGACCCACATGGTGGAAGAGAGCCTACTCCTAAAGTTGTCCTCTGATCTCCATGTGTGTGCAGAGCTCACACATGAATGAATGAATGAACGTAATTTTCTGTGTGTATAAACATGAATCTCTGTGAGTATGCTATGTATGTGTATGGGGGGGGCAGTGCCCAGGGGACAGAGGAGAATTGCAGTAGAAACAGGTGCTGAGAACTGAACTGGACCTTCCCTAATAACAGCCAGTTCTTAATCACTCAGTCACCTCTCCAGTTCCAATGAATGTAACTAAAAGAATTTAAAAAAAAAAAAAAAAGAATTTTGAGGGGGCTGGAGAGATGACCCAATGGTTAAGAGCACTGGCTCTTAACAATTCTTCCTGAGGACCTAGGTGTAGTGATATCTTTCTTGTAAAATAAAGCCTGTCTGAGAAATCAGAGCAAGACATCGCCACACCCAGGTTTATATTTGATTCCTAATACCCACATGATAGCTTACAACCCTCTAACTCCAGACAACAGTTTGTAATTCCAGTTCAAGGATCCGATACCCTAGTCTGGCCTCTGCTGATATTGCACACAAGAAGTTCACAGACATACCAAAACACCCCACACATAAATAATAAAATAAAATAAAAAATTTCTGAGCTAGGCATAGTACCCCTTTAATCCCAGCATCCAGAAGGCAGAGGCAGGCAGATCTCTGAGTTTGAGGCCAATCTGATCTACATATCCAGGCCAGCCAGGGCTACACAGTGAGACCCAGTATCAAAACAAACAACAAAAGGAAACAGGAAGTTGAGAAACAAGTTGAATTGTTTAAGAGAGGGTCTTGGCAGAGGCAGGTGGAATCTCTGAATTCAAGACCAGCCTGGTTTATATAGAGTTCCATGTCTTTAAAAAAAAAAAAAAAAGACAGACAGATAGACAGACAGACAGGGAGAGGGGGGGAGAGAGAGAGAGAGAGAGAGAGAGAGAGAGAGAGAGAGAGAGAGAGAGAGAGAGAGAGAGAGAGAGAGAGAGAGAGAGAGAGAGAGAGAGAGAGAGAGAACGATGGCTCAGCTGTTAAGAGCACTGACTGCTCTTCCAGAGGACCCAGGTTCAATTCCCAGCACCCATATGGTAGCTGACTACTATCTGTAACTCCTGTTACAGGGGAATCCAGGGGATCCAACACCCTCACAGACATGCATACAGGCAAAACACCAATGCATATAAAGTAGGAATAAATAGGTTATTAAAAAAGAGAGAGGGTCTCTCATTCTGGAACCAAGGTTGGTCTAGAACTCAAAATCCTCTTGCTGAGATTATAGGTGTGTGTCATCATGTCCAACTTCAGACAAGTTGTGTTGAAAAAAAAATGAGTTTAAAGAACAATGGGGGGTACATGTCTTTGATCTCAGGAGGCAGGTAGCTCTCTGAGTTCAAAGCCAGCCAGGTCTACAGGGCAGTCAAGGCTACACAGAAAAATCCTGTCTTAAAAAAAATAAAAATGGGTTTATAGGTTTACAGAATCTGAGCTAGACAATATTTTTCCTGCATAAAAATTTTTTGTTGGTATTGTAGTGAACACTGTATTTATTTCTGATTGATACAGACATCAAACTAGAAAATCAACATGAAAGGCTAAGGCCAGTGAATAATAAGCCATGCTTTACTCAAAAGTCTGGGATTTGATGGTACGTGTGGAAAGAAGGCTGACTGCACTCCAGCCAGAGAGCCCATTGTGCACACCTTTCTCTTCACAGAAGTAGCACTAGCTGGCCCTATAACAACTATGCATTATCAAATGCATATCTTTCCGGCTTCCTCTATCAGCTGATTCAGCAAGAAATCCCTGCAGCAGTGACTCTGTGCAGCAAAGAGAAGTTATTTCTATCTTTGTCAGTTAGAGGATATTCTAGTAAACAGACATTAAATGCTTTTACAGGATGTCAGGGAAAATAATGTCAAGGTCATGAGAACAAAACAATGCACTTTCAGTTTTACAGAATGGTTAGTTAGTAGGCTGATTTCCAAACTCCACTACTGTAGATGTTAAGTTGAATCCCAGCTTCTTTAATAGAGCATCCCTATTAATAAGATATATTCACTGTTGTTTCTTAGTGTAAGAGGCTAAATAGTCAGAGCACAACTGGGGGGGGGGGTTCCCAGCCAAGAACCTAGTCTGGGCTTCAGCCAAAACTCCCTACACCTTTCCTGAATAGCAATCCTTCAGCAACTCCAAGAGTACAGCAGAAACTTAGGTCGGGAGACGGTTCAGCAGGTAAAGGCCCTTGTTGCTAAGCCTAAAGACCTAAATTCAATCCCATGAACCCACATGGTAGAGAGGATAGAATCAACTCCAACTGTCTTAGACTTCTATACATACACACCATGGCATAAGCCCATACACCACCAAAACAAACATACATTCATACATATAGACATAAAGTAAATATGTATAATTTTAAAAAGGGAGGCAGGCCGGGCGTTGGTGGCGCACACCTTTAATCCCAGCACTCGGGAGGCAGAGGCAGGCGGATCTCTGTGAGTTCGAGGCCAGGCTGGACCGACAGCCTCCAAAACAGAGAAACCCTGTCTCGTAAAACCAAAAAAAAAAAAAAATAGTAAAAAGGGAGGCAGAAAAACCTGCTGAGGAAATTTACTTTGAATCACTTCTGGTCCTACACTAGCATCAACACTAACTAGAGGGTATGTATAGTGAAGAAGGAAAAACCAAAGATTAGCACACATCTAATTAATTCATAGACACTCCCATTTCAACCAGTAATATAGAAGTCAGTCACAATTTAAAGCCAAAGAACACACAGGAGCAAGGCCTCTAGCTAACATCACCTTTCGGTGGGGGAACACCTTCAAAGAACAATGTATAGCTCACACAGAAACTCCAGCAGTAGCTCATGTTTTGTTTTAAAACATTAGTCATTCTTGAACTTTTTGGGGGGAGGGGTGGTTTCAAGACAGGGTTTCTCTGTGGCTGTGGAGTCTGTACTGGAACTAGCTCTAGTAGACCAGGCTGGTCTCGAACTCATAGAGATCCTCCTGCCTCTGCCTCCCAAGTGCTGGGATTAAAGGTGTATGCCGCCACCACCCAGCGTGTTTTTTTGTTTTTTGTTGTCTTACTTTATGTATATGGATGGTTTCCCTGCATGCAAGTATGTACATGACAGGCATGCCTGGCAGGTCCCCTGGAACTGGGATTAAGAATGGCTGTGAGTCACAATGTATGTGTTGGGAATTGAACCAAGGTTCTCTGTAAGAATAACAAGTGTTCTTAGTTGCTGAGCCATATCTGCATGTTTTGATCTCTACTTTTAACTAATGACTAAATTTACTATCTCACCAACATCAAATCTTTATACCATACTAAGGTGAAGAATCCACCCCCATGTAACCAATTAACTTTATTATTTGAAAAGCAGCAATAGTTTGTAAACAACTCAACATTCACAAATGCTCTAACACTATAAAAATTATACCAACTAGCTACTGACAAGATCTCCCAGTTCTTGTGTGTGTGTGTGTGTGTGATGAAATGTGACATGATAAGGAGAGATGTTTCTATTTCCTAACCAAATGAGAAATCAAAACAAGTGATCTATTTAAGATGGATGGAATGAATTACCTAACAAACAAAAGAAAATTCATTGGTCACCATTAAAAAACAAAACAAAAATCTTAGTGGACCTTTCTCTGTGGACTCAAAACTAAATCATTTCTAGTCCAAATACATTTTCTCATTAAGATGACAACATTTATATTTTCCCCCCAGTGGTGCTAGGGATCTAAACCCAGGGCTCATGCTAAGCACATGATTTATCACTGAGTTATTACCCACCACTGGTGTCTTGGTTTTTGTTTGTTTGTTTGTTTTAATGTAGGAAACTATATGTTCATAACCAATAATTAAAGAAATCAATTTCTGGGTCAGCAAGATGGCTCAGCAGATAAAGGCACTTGATGCCAAGGCTGATGGTAGAAAGAGAACAGACTTCTGACCTCCACACACTCACCATGGCACACAACCCCAGCATCATACAGATAATCACATGGATGGATGGATGGATGGATGGATGGATGGATGGATGGTAGAATAAAAATGTAAAGGAATTTTCAGTAATTTTTACACATCTATTACTAATATCTTAGGTTGAATGGGCATATATTTATGTATTCTTCAATTTTAGCCATCTATAGAGCAGATACTAAACATGACTGTAAACATAAATAACAGTATCTATATAACAAATATCAATAATTCCTAAAATAATATAATGCTTCCCTAGAACTTAGTCTCATCTGCTGAAGCTCAACCCAATATCTAATATTAATTTGTTTGCATATATGCTTTACATATTACATATACCGCAAATATCAGACTGCTAAATACTGTAAAAGCAGAGCATATTCATTATTATTAAATTTAAAATTTCTATCTCTAACCACAGTTAAGTATTTTTACTATTGTTTTGTTGTTATTTTCTGAGACAGGATCTCATTCTGTAGCCCAGGCTAAGCTCAAAAGCATGGTTATCCACCTACCTCGGCCTCCCAAGTACTGAAATCACAGGCACGAGCCTCCATGCTCAGCTCATATTTAGTTTTATACTTCTCTAGTAAGCTCATTTACTGTTTAACTCCTCACCAGACATACAGAATACTGGCTTTAAAACTTACCAGCTGAAATCACTAACCATTTTCATACTGTTTTTCAAAAGCTTGGAATTATTTCTACTTTCAAGCACACTCAAAGTCCAACCTCACAAGCCTTTAAAATAAAATGCACCAATAATGCTGAAGTCTAGACAAGTCCTCCCAGCTTCCTCAGAATCTGAGTTGCTCAACCAAAAGTTGTGAAAGAAAAGCTACCAAGATTGAAGACAGGGATGGTTCTACTGATGATCAGCTGATGGCTTGACACCTGGAAAGAAAAAGCCAGGAAAGTAGGCTATGCTCCCACCTCTTCCAGAAAGTGCCTCTCTGACTTGGTGTCCAGCCACCTGCCTATCCCACAGCACCTTAACCACACTGGTTATGTGCAAGGTTAACATGTTTTTACATAGTCACAGCATGCTTTTAAGAAATAAAACAAACTCCCTAGGTTTCACTGCAAAGCATTAGGTAAACTTTAATTTTCAAGAACAAATACATGATTTAGAACTGTCCTCATCTGCCCACATCACATTCCCATTTAGACTACTCCACTCCATGTGATAAACATATCCCTTCATGTTCAATGTTACAAACTCCAATTTCCTTCCTTAACTATGCAGTGTGCTAGGTTAGCCTTCTCCAAAGTAAAAATGCTATGGTTCATCTTAGAATAAATCTCTGTGGAATGAAACCATTTTAAAATAATTGTATAAGTAAAAAATTGGCTAAGTAATCAGTGTTGAAATGAAAAATAAAGTGACTCATATCCTGTAGCAGTTTCTAAAAAGTGAAAACTCTTCTCAGCAGAATTTTCTAAACACCCAGTCTTATACAGCAAAATGTACAAAAAATAAAACCAGAACCCAGAGAGACACAAAATAATTCAGAAGTCTCTTAGTTCTGTGCTTCTCTATAAAGCTCCCACGTTCTTTAACATCAAGACGGTGGTTTGGGGAGACAGCTCAGGGGGTAAAGGTGCTGCCCATCAAGCCTGATGGCCTGAGCTCCACCTGAGACTCACGCGGTGGGAGGAGATAACTGACTCCCAAAAGTTGTTCTCACCTCCGCACGTGCTATGTACACATTAGCACACACATCAATAAATGTCACTTTTGAAAATTTTAAAAGATTTATGACTCAAAAATCTGACAAGAACTGTAGCAGTTTCATTTATAACCATTTGTTAAGTCCTCACAAGAGCTAAATTTTACAATCTCACTTATTCCTCAAAAAGGTATCACAGGATTTCCTTTACTGAGGAAACAGAGGCTCAAAAAAGGTGAGCAGGGGAAAATAATATAATTATAATCTCAAAAAATTTTTAAAAATACTTTTGAAAAGTGAACTTTTCCAAAGTCACAGGCAAATATAAAACGCCAGTGTTTTCTAGGATAAATTAACATTCCTAGGAAAAATAAACAGCTTTCTATAGCCAACCTTCCCATTCCAAATCAAATAGAAATAACTTCAAAACAGACTAGGTACTCACTGTCATTACGCAGTACTTAACCGCAAACGCGCCTGGGATTTAAGTAATTTCACATCATCTCAGATGCCTTCAGCATTCTAGGTCTCCTATTTGTTTTGGGTTTAGTTTTGATTTTGATTTTTTGAGACAGGGTCTCACTATGTAACTCTGGCTGGGAACTCACACGATCAGCCTCCCTCTGCCTCCTGAACGCTGGAATTTTAAAGGCTTACCACAGCACACCAGGCTTTCCTATTTGTATTTTTAAAGTTTGGTACTTTCCTATCTGTAAATTATTTTCCAACATGGTAGTAAGGGCAGACACTTAAGGTACTTACCCTATAAATAACTACCCGGAGGGATAAATAATGGTAAGGGTGTACCAGCTGCTAATACGCCAAGACTTGTAACTTGTATTTGGTAACGCAAAAGAAGTATTTCCTGCTTCATCATTTAAGTCAGCCACTCCTGGCACCCAATGGCAAAGCCAGAAACACCATGCCTCACACTCTTGAAACTCCACCCTCCACAGTAAAGCTTTAATAGCAATGGCTTCTTCCTCTCTGGTAACGATCTTTGTTCAGCACACTACTGATGGCTGCCCTTCTGAATCAGGAGCAGAGCAAGACTACGAAAGTGAGAGCGCATTCATGAACAAAAAAAAGCGTTCACTGTACTCTCTTCACTGGGAACTGTATCCTTTCACTTCGGCTTCTTTCCGGACTCAACCAATAAGCAATTCTCTGTCTACTCCCCATCCTCCCGAGTTCTGTGAACCCGCTTCACATTTTCCCCTACCTTGCAACAAATTCTTGGTTTCATTAAAAGAGCACGCCACCACTTTAACCCTCTCCCACAGTTTGGGAAAGGTATGTGGTGGCCAACCAGGGCTCTTCCCTTCCTGTTGGATCCTCCCAGTATTGCAGCAGGAAGCAACCAGTCCACAGTGATAAGCTAGCTAGTATTTGTGCAGCGCACAACCTTTCCTGTTCGGGAACTGGGCCTTCAGGTCTGGCAGGGATAACAGCCACCACCCATCCGCAGCCCCTTCTCGAAAGCCAGTAAAGGAGTTATCCGGGTCTGGAGGTAGCTGGGCAGGGGCAAGAGAAGGAAGGGGGTTAAAAAGGCGAGGTGGGAAGTCATCTGCCGGCCTGGACACTGCGACAAGTGCGCGCACGCCAGGGGTGATGGACAGCCCCTGTGGCCCTCCTTTGCGCTCCCTCCCACCAGCCGGGTCGCGTTCTGTGAAAACGAAAAGGCACAGAGTTGCCTGTCCGTGGGAAGGGAGAGGGCAGTCCGCGGACACTGACCTCGAGGGCTGCGGGGATGGGGGTGGGGGCCCTGGGACGGGCGAATCTGGCCGAAGCCCAGGAAAGGCTCACTCGGAAGGAAGGGAAACGAAACGAAATGAAAAGGAAAAAACAAACAACAAACAAACAAAAACCCCACAGAGTCGGTGCCCCAATATGGGTGCTGAGCCTAGGCAGGGGCCTGTCACAGGGGGATGTGAGGCCGGCGGCGTGCATCCAGGAGGGAGGGAGGGGCCCGAGATGCCCAGGGAAGAAACTGCACGGCCGTGAGGAATGCAGCCATCGGGGAAGACACATAGTGAGGGGCGATGCGGCCCGGCAGCCCTCCCCGAGGCGCAGGAACTGCGACGACCCGCGGGACCCCCGTCGGGGCGGCAGGGAGGAAGCGCTGAGGCGGGCTCCGTCCAGGGCAGGGCTCTAGCCCTCGCGCGGGTCCCCCGGGATGTCTCGGGCCCGAATGGGCACTCGGCGGCCCAAGCGCTCACCTTTAAAGAGGTAGTCGTACTCGTCGTCGCGGGTGCCCATGGCGCGGCCGAGGAGCTGAGGGGCGGGAGCGGCGGTGGCGACAGCGGCGGGACCAGGGGGCGTCGCTGCAGGGGTAACCCGAGCGCCGAGCTTCAGCTGCCGGACCCGGTGAAGAGCCCCGCCCTGGCCCTGCGTCACTTCCGTCCTGCCCCAGCCCCTCACAGGAAGTACTTCCGGAGAAGTGGCGCCCCGCTGAGGTGGGCAGGGTGGAATGCTCGGGAGTGAGCTCCGCTCTCTCACCCGGCTTGGGAAGGCTTACATGGAAAAGTCTTATAATGCCCGGCTGCATAAAGTCCTACAGGCCTTTGGCTTGTTTTTTCCTCAACCATGCAGGGGAGAAAGGCGTAGTGTTTATTTCCGGTCGGGGGCGGGACTTTGTTACCATTAGACATCCAAAGCCGGCACTTCTACCATACCGGTTCCATGGTGTAATGGTTAGCACTCTGGACTCTGAATCCAGCGATCCGAGTTCAAATCTCGGTGGAACCTGTCTTTTGTCATTATGTTTATTCATATTGAATGACAGAATAATTGTATTATATCTGCTTTTGGGTTGAATCACTTATAGTATTTACCTATGAAGATTTCACTAATGAATCTCCAGTGGTGTCTGCTACATGGAAACCTGGACATTTAAGCCCTTAGTTCTTTTTTAGCCTTCGAGGAAGCTTGTTTCTTGATTCCTTATGCTGGAATTTTCTACCCTACGCTTCAGTTAAGGATAGGCACTTCTCACCCACTCAATCTCTTCAGAAATCTCTTACACTATCTCCAAATGTCATCAAGAGAACTTCACCCACCCTCCTCATAAAGATCCATCAAGATCTTGAGTCCTATCTGCTGGCCTCCAAGCTAACGGGTTAAATAAATTACACAAGAAAACAGCAACTTCCATTTTAGCGAATGTCAAGTTAAGAGTCAAGAGATTTGCCATAACGTCTCCTCATAGTTGTTTTGTTCTTATTGTTGTTTGAGGCAGTCTCACCCCCTCACCCCCGTAACCCAGAATGGTTTTGAAATCACTATAGCTCTGCTATGCTCCTCTGCACCCTCTCACCCCACCCTCTAACACGCCTAATAATTCCTAGGTCATGGGAAAAGAGAATTCAGCTTACAGATGAAATTCAAGTTGCTGATCAACTGACCTTAAGCAGGGATATTATCTTTGATAATCTGAGTAGGCTCAGGGTTTGTCCTTAGGGTCTTTCCAAAGTGGAAAAGAGGGGGTTCTCAGCAGGGATGAGGTGCTTCCCCATGCTGCCATCAGCTGCCTGAGAAAAGGGACCTGGATTCAGAGAAAACCTGATTCTTGACTTTGCTGCATTTCAGGGTGATAAAATATGAAATGGGCCGGGCGGTGGTGGTGCACACCTTTGATCCCAGCACTCGGGAGGCAGAGGCAGGCAGATCTCTGTGAGTTCGAGACCAGTCTGGTCTACAAGAGCTAGTTCCAGAACATGCTTCAAAGCCACAGAGAAACCCTGCCTTGAACCCCCCCCCCCCCAAAAAAAAACAGGTAGTGAGAGGGTCTCAGAAAGAAAGACATGGCCAAGAGCATGAGCTTTTCAGAGAGCCCTGCCTTGTTTTTATAGGTGTCATATCCACCAACGGTTTCAAATCTATCCTCTTCAAGGAGTTGCTGAAAAATCTGAAATCATAGGGTGACTTCTACTTGGTGAATAGGAACATAACTGATAGAGTAAAATTCTAGGTGACAAGGAAGGTTGCAGGGGAATTTAAGATATCTTTACTGTAAACAAAGGTTTAATTTTGTTGTGAGAATCAGGAGAAGTATCTGGGAGAAAAGTTAGACCATACTTGAAGATCATAAAAGCTTAGTCTTTAACAGTTCATTGCTATTTTAACAATCTCTATATAAATATAATGTTTTAAAGGCCATCACTAGCCGGGCGGTGGTGGCCCACGCCTTTAATCCCAGCACTCGGGAGGCAGAGGCAGGCGGATCTCTGTGAGTTCGAGGCCGGGCTGGACCGATAGCCTCCGAAACAATACAGAGAAACCCTGTCTCGTAAAAACCAAAAAAAAAAAAAAAAAAAAAAAAAAAAAAGGCCATCACTAGGCCAGGTGTGATTGCACATGTTTTTAATCCCATTGGGGAAGCAGAGGTAAATGTGAGTTCAAGGCCAGCCTAGTTTTCCATAGTGAGTTCAGACCAGCCGGGGTTACAAAACAGGAAAAACAAAACAAAACAAGACCATTCCTACAGCTGGGGGTGGCAGCATAGCACCTGTGAACCCAGCACTCATGATGTGGAAGCAGGAGGATTGCAAGTTCTAGGCCAGTCTGAGCCATATGTGGAATTCTTGTCTCAAAAGTGGTGGTGGTGGTTTGGTGTGTGTGTGTGTGTGTGTGTGTGTGTGTGTGTGTGTGTGTGTGTGTGCATTTGTGCTCATGCAGGCAAGATGTGAGATGGCAAGGGACAATGGCAAGATACTCAGCGGGTAAAAGCATTTGCCACCAAGCCTGAAGACCTGAGTTCAGTTCCAGAATCGTACATTGTAGTTGGAAGGAGAGAACTGACTCCTAAAAGTTGTCCTTTTACTTCCGTGCACACATACACACACCTTAAATTAAAATGTAGTTTTAACAAAATTTTGAGGCGGCATTATTATTTCTTACTTTCTCTTTCAGTATTTCTCTTAATAAATCTACATTCTCTCAACAACAATAATAATAATAAAGAATGTTATCTCCTACATGGACAATCTTCATGGCAAATGTTAGTAGTGTTGGAAGTGTTCACTACTGACTGGAGAGAAAGACTTAGTCAGGCTCTAGAGTGGAGGCTCTTCTGCCTCCTGAGGTCACCATAATTTCCCCTTTGTATCTTCCTCAGAAGTCATGTGTAGAGTCACACACCTGTAATTCCAGCACTTGAGAGGAGATAAGAGAATCAGGAGTTCAAGGTCACCTGGCTACAGGAGACCCTGTCAGGAAGAGAGAGAAAGGGAGGGAGGGGGGGAGAGAGACAGAGAGAAAGAGAAGGAGCCAGAGAGAGAAAGGGAGGGAAAGAGAGGGAGGGAGGGAGGGAGGGAGGGAGGGAGGGAGGGAGGGAGGGAGGGAGGGAAGGAGGGAGGGAGGGGCTGCAGAAGAGATCCCATAGATTGATGAGATGAGAAAGAATTCCCAACTGGTCCCTAATGGCTTTGAAAACAGATGGAAGTAATCAGGAGCCTCAGAATCCAGATATTTCTAGAAACTGGGAGAGTAACCCAAAGAGATTCTTCCCAAAAAAGAAACACAGCCCTTTCTGAACCTTAATTTTAGCCCAGTGCTGAGTTGATTTAAATCACCGAGCTCATGGCAATTAATTTCAGCAGGCATAGAAAATGAATACAACGACATTGTCAGTACTTTCTCTGCCAGTGCAAAGGGATAGATTGTCAGGCATGTGGTGCACACCTGTAATTCCAGCACCTTGGAGATGGAGGCAAGAGAATCAAGAGTTCAAATTCAGCCGAAGCTGTATGAAACCCCAGCATTGTACAAGTAACAGTCATTCAAACTGGGAGAGATGCATACTATCACTTAAAAAGCCACAAGTTTTTACGGTACCTATATGTGACTAAAGATTATTATCAGACAGTCTTGGTGTTGCATATTGAAGGAGACAGACAGGGCTACAAATAGGAAAATCAAGATGGAAAAAGCAAGGAAGGAAACTTGTTTTTGGTAAGTGGGGGGACATGACTGTGAGGGTGTGTTGAGTAAGGCCATGGATGCTGCCAGAAGTTCTAAGCACATTTTCCCCGTATGTCATTATTTCTCAATGTGAATTCTGAGAAGGACAATAGTGTTTCTCAACAAAAACTTGCATGATCAACTACATTGAGAACTACACGCCTCCCATTTTAAAGATTCCCTAAGCTCATGGGCATTTAAAAAGTAAATATATATATATCAGTTCCCAGAAAAAATTCCCATGGACTTTTTAGAAGCCTTTTAAATGCTCTGGAAGAGTGAAACATAGACCATTGGACAAAGGAGCATTAGAGTCAAACTTAGTTCCTCTGAATGAGCAGCATGTGCTCTTATCCGTTGACCCATCTCTGAGACTTTATTTGGCTTTGTTGTTGTTGCTGGTGTGTGTGTGTGTGTGTGTGTGTGTGTGTGTGTGTGTGTGTGTGTGTGTGTACTTTGTGTTTATTTTTGTTTGAGGCAAGGTCTCTCTGTGTAGCCCTGGCTGTGGAACTTCATTCTTAAAGCAAATAATACAGAAGTGTAGACTAAGACTTTACCAGCTTCCTCCACCATTTCAGTTCCTTTCAAGACCCCAGAAATAACTAATTATTTATATTATTTTCCTCATGTTGAAAGTCTTTCCATAGAAATCCAGACAGATTTAACTAATTATCTGAATAGCTTTCCCTTAACAAAGATGTATAACAGCTTGTCCAAACATTCTTACTCACTTACTTTTAGACAGGACAAGAAAGATATTGAAGACTTATCCGATTAAATCATGTTTATTTTCTTATTTATATAAAATCTCACATAGCTCAGACTAGTCTTGAACTCACAATGTAGTAGAGAATCTTAAACTCCTGATCCTCCAATAGATTGCTGGGATCACAATCCTTCACCATACCGTTTTATGTGGCACTGGGGATAATACTAGATAAGTACTCTACTGTAGACTGAGTTTCTTTATTGCTCCCATAGCCGTTTAGTCCCAAATAAACACACAGACTTATATGAATTATAAATTGTTTGGTCAATGGCTTAGGCATCTTATTGGCTAGTTATTAACCCATAACTATTAATCTATGCATTTCTACATGGTCTTATCTTACCCAAGAATGCTGGGACCTGTTATTCCTTCAGCGGCTACATGGCATCCTCCCTGGCAGCTCACTCTCCAACTCCTCTCCCTAGATTCTCATCTGGTAGTCCCGCCTATACTTCCTGCCTGGCTACTGACCAATCAGTGTTTTATTCATCAACTAATAAGAGAAGCATATATACAGAAGGACATCCCCCATCATCTCCTCTTTTCTGTCTAAGTAAAAAGGAAGGTTTTAACTTTAACATAGTAAAATTATATATAAATCAAAACACAAGCAAGAACTGTAGCTAACAATATTTAATCCATTAACATTTGGCAAAA